AGGAGCAGGGCCGCTCTCCCTGCAGCGGTCCAAGCTTTCCTCCTTGTCCCCATTCCAAGGCACTTGGCTTGAGCACCTTCCTCCCTCCATCTGCCTCAGGGACCAGGCCAAGCCTGGGGCTGCTGCTGGCTTGGGTTACACACACCGCACACTTTCATTGCTGCTCTGCTCCAGACCTGGAGGTTATCATCAGCACTTCCTCACCCTGCATCCCAATTCCTCGGTAGACATTAATTTTCCATCAATCTACCCTCTGCATTAGTGTACAACATTGCTGTTTCCAGTTTGTAGTTATTTTGTCCTAACACAATAAATACCCTGATAAGCACCAGGGGAGAGAGGCTTTACCTCATGAAGTTGAGAAGATTGTAGGTAAGGCTCATCCCAGGGAAAGCAGCTGCCTACAACCCAGGACACCCCTCTTACCTCCTCTGAAGTAGCTTAAGCACCCTGGGATCCAGATGGCTGCCCCCACCTTCTGCAGCTGCATTCCCCATACTCCAAACAGAACAACCTTCCAGTGAGCCATCCCTGACAGGTATTTATAAAACACCCCATAATCCCTCCCTTCCTTCCTGCCATCAACTTCTCACCTGTGGAGCTTTACTCAGGCATCGCCTCCTCATTAATCCCATTACCAGGAAATAGCCACAGGTATGTGGGTAACTAACGTCTTCATGCACCTGTCCTGGGAGCCAAGTGATCTGGGAAAAGGTGCGAAGTTTCCGGCTTTTAAGTACTTGAGGTGGTGGCCTTCATGTTGCATCCCTGAGAATTTTGCATTTCATTTTTGTCTAAAAACAAAACAAAACACAAGCCCCTCACTCCCCAAAACCTGCAACTGCCCAGTCTGCCGGCCTGAGCCAGCACAGACCCCTCTCCCGCTGCTGGGATGTCCCCAAGCAAAGGGCACAGCCGAAAGGAGCCCAGGTTTCCTCACCGGAGCTGCTTAACGGGGACTGAACGCTCCAGATCAGCGTGGCTGAGTGCAGGGAAGCTGCATTTTCACCCAAAGGTTATTTGACATCTCTGTTTTGCAAGGACAGGAGATGGGGGCTTGGCCTCTGAGTTTCTGATAAACAGGGTTGTGTCACTGGCAGATAACTGATCCGTACTCATGATTTTTATTTTATAGCACCTTAATCTGTCTTAGCTGTGTTGATTGCTGCACAAAACTATGTGGAAGGACAGTTACAGCCCATAAGGCATTTACAGCCACCAGGCACAGAAATGAGGAAAGTCCCTGTGTGCGGCGGTGGTTAATGAACCTTCTCGTGGCGATCGTGGAGCCTCAGGCACATCTGCCCCTACAATAAGAGCCTGGAAGGCTGTGGGTGCAAGATCAGCTGCATCAGCCTTAATAACTGGGGATCAACAGTTTCTCCAGGTAGGGCGGCCAAAGGTAATGCTGTTTATCTGTGCCTGGGGCTCCTTAGATACTCAATATCTAAAAGTGCTTTAAAACACTACTATTAGCAGGTATTCCTCTGAGATTAGAGCAATGATTCCTTCTCTCTATCCTCTTGCCTCCCCAGTGGAGCAGAAGGGCACGATAACTTATCAGGACCTTCCCATGTGCTCTTAGTAACGGCATGGGGACTTGCTAACTCATCTGGGAACAACACACAGAATATTTAGGGCTTCTAAGCTGGATAAATGATAACATCTTTATGATGTGAGCCCTTTAAACCCTCAGCGCCTGGCAGGCCCCTCACTGAACGGGAAAGGACAATATTAGACCCTGGGGGCAGCCAGCAAAGCCTGATAACGAAACAGCAACTCGGGCGGATGGGAAGCGGCAGGGCTGGTTTCCCTGCCGGTGCTGGGGGCTGACCGGACACATGGGCGCTCCGGGAAGGGCCGAGCCTGGCCGGGAGCAGGGTACACCGGACGCGCCGGGGCGAGCTGCCCGCTGGCGCGCGCCCGGCCCCCTGCCCGCTCCACCTGCACACCGGGGCCTGGCGAAGGGAGCTCAGCGTGGCCCGGGAGCGGCGAATCCGAGCGGAACTGGCGCCGTGCCCTCCATCAGCAGAAGGAGCGGCTGAACTGCGGCCAGCACCGGCTCCATCGCGGCGCAGCTTGCGCTTATTTTCTGCGGAGAAGACTCTGTATTCCTGCCTGGTGTCAGCCACGGGGTAGCACTGCTCAAGCCTCCTGCAAATCCTTGCAGCTTTACCCCATAACCCATGGGAGAAACACAGGCACGCAGGGGAGGGGTGGCAGTGAGACGTCGATGCATCCTGAGGCATCAAGGCAGGCCAAGGTGCTCTGGGATGCCACAGAGAGACTGCTGCAGGCCAGGGAGGAGGGCCCGTGTCAACACCTTGGCTTCACACAGGCTTCGGGGGCACCTCCTCACCCTGCCGGAGGAAGCCCAAGAAGGAGCCAGAGGACATCTGAAGTCTGTGCATGGAAGGAACCCATGAAGCGAGTGGCCCACAGACCCGGCAGCCTGGGGCATGAGCATGAGTCTGCTCTGTCCAGCTCATCCTTAGGGAAACGCGGCCAGGGAGATGACCCCACACAGGGCTGAGGAGACCAGTGCTTGGCAAGTGAGAGCAATGGCTTGGCAGCGAGGAAGGCAGCTAGCTGGGAACCTGCGTAGAGAGGAAGACGAGCCAAAACACAAAGAAGAGCAAAGACACAAAGATGAGCAAAGACACAAGGTTCAGAGGGTTCAGATTCGGGGAAACCGTGTCAACCTCTGTTACATAAGTCTACAAAAGTCTTAAAATGTTTCACTGAGAAATGAATCATCAGCAATGATAAAACCCCAGAGAAGTCATAAAAATTGCAGACATTGATAAAATGCAGCATCGATATAGCCAAGCTCAGCAGTCTGCAGCAGGGATGTGGGGTCACGGCACCGCAGCGCGCACCCGCCTCAGCACCCACGACTGCCTGCAGCTCCGATGGAGCCGCGAGGGCTCCGCAGCGCCGGGAGCTGGGCTGAGGGGACACGGTGGCTTCGGAGCAAGTCCGGACAGAGGTTCCCGCTCTGGGGCTTGCCTGGGATCTCAGGCATGAGCAGGATCCAAGGGAAGAGCCCCCTGCTACCACCCTGTTCCTCCTGAAAGCTGGGGCAAGTGCCGCCTGCCATTCCAGACGCTGCTGCTCTAGCTATTGGCACTGAGGGGATTCTTGGTGCCGTGATGCTCCCTTTTCCTCAGTGCACCTTTATCCAGAACTTCTGTGTCCTCAGGAGCTTTTTCCCAGCTTGGACGCTGGAGTGTAGCAGGAGACATCGCTGAGTTTGACTGCCCTTAGTTTCCCCTGTTGGTGCTGCTCTGTCCCATCTCAGCACAGCCCACGGCCCTTTTTCTGTCCACGCAGTAAACTCCTTCTCCCTGCAGCAGGATCATGAGCCCCTGTTAATGCCAGGACTTACAGCAACCACCGCCCACACTGCAGCGTCTCGAGAGACCAAAGGCTTCTGCTAGCAAAGAGCAGGCAGCAAAAACCGGGGGTGTGAAAGGGCTACAGCAAAGGGCTACAAGGGGACAGCAGGGGATGAAGGATGGCCCCTGGCTGGCACAGCAGCACGTTGTGGATGGAGCTTTCATACAGGCTGCCTGCAGGAGGCACATTAGCATCTCCTCACATTCATAAGTATTAAAATAATGCCAAATTCCCTGATGGAGGAGACAGGTCTGGTGTTTGATCCTGCAGAGAATCACAGCTACTCTACCTCAGTTAGACAAAAACAACGAGGCTCATTCTGATATGAAGTGCCATGCACCCGATCAGCAATTGCAAGATTAGATAAGAAATGAACTTAGTTCCCTCCAGCATATATTAACGCGAGCATTCCGAATGTCAGGATTCTCCCGTTCCAAAGGCAGGATGTTCCCTTCCCTGGGGTTCCTCCTCGCTGCCCTCTCCGTGGCAAGATGCGCCCCGGTGCAGCAAGCAGCCGGGCGCAACAAGCTCCTCCTCGTGTCCTTCGACGGCTTTCGGTGGAATTACGACCAGGACGTGGACACCCCCAACCTCGATGCCATGGCCGCGGCGGGGGGGAAGGCGCAGTACATGACTCCTGCCTTCCCCACCATAACCAGCCCCTGCCACTTCACGCTGCTCACGGGTGAGTCCCCCCCGTCCCCCCGGTGCCAGGAAGGCTGCAGGACAGCAAGTTTAAGGCTTATATATAAATAAAGTCATGGAGACAAGCCCGTGACTGCTGCCTGGCATGAGCAGCACGCAAAGCTCTAGAATTGAGGTATGCTGGAGAAAACAGTTAGCAACACGACAGCAGAAAGCAACAGAACTGAACCTGTAGTTATCAAAGGTAAATAGCACCAGGCTAACCCGGTAGCCTCCTTTTATAGGATAAATGATTTTTTTTAGACAAAGGAGATGCAGTAAATCTAATCTTTCTGGACTTCAGTAATGTATTTGATATAACGCCGCGTGGGAAATCATTAGTTAAGAAGTAGATGAATATTAGTCCAAAATCTCTAATGTGGGTAACTGGCTACAGGGAAGACAACTGCAGGTAACGCTAGATGGAGACTATCAGGCTGGAGAGAGGGTAACAGGGGAATTCCTGGAGAATCGATTTGGAGCCAATCTTATTTAAGATTTTCATTAATAACCTTGGCATAAAAGAGTGTAACTTGCTAATGAAATCCACTGATGAGACCAGACAAAGAGACAGTGTCAATACAAAGGAGGCCTGGGATATCAGGCCGAAGTAACTGTGCGGTCTTGAGGACTGGAATAATAAAAATGGTGTGAAATTATTAGTACGAAGCACATTTCTAACAAGAATTTCTGCGAACAGAAGAAGAAAAATAAAACAGAGCAATTAGATAAATGCATCTGTGGACCCCAAACGTGATGAAAAAGGCTGGAGTAATTGCAGGATGCACCTGTATTTCCAGGAGGGAGGAGCTGTTATTCAGGGTCACGTTCCCAAGGGCCATGGACTTCCTGTGGAAGTTAGGAACAGGAATTCCCCGGGCAACATCAGCCCCTGCTGCCAGGGACCTCACTGTGCCAGCCCAGAGCCAGGGGAAAGGGCAGAAACAAAGGCAAGAGGGTAGCAAAGAAAGGGGAAATGAGGGGCAGAGCTTCCCTCTACCTCCTTGACCCTTTGCTCAGTGCACAAGGCAGTAATCCGGGACGGGCACCGGAGATTCCAGCCGCAGCCCGGCTCACCCTCGCCTCGTCCCTCTCTTCCGACAGGGAAATACATCGAGAACCACGGCGTGATCCACAACATGTGGTTCAACACCAGCACGGGCCAGAAGCTGCCCTACTACCACACGCAGGGGTGGTGGGAATAATTATAATCGTTCTGTCAAAAAAAAGATGCATTTCAGCTTTGTTAAGATATTACTAAAACAAGTTATTTGTTTCCTGCTTGAAGAAACCTCAACTAGTTCTTGAAGGAGTGAAATGAGCCCAAGGTTTTAATGCACTGAGGTCCACAGCTCATTCCTCCACCAGGCGCTTTCAGGGCCGTTCACGGGGCTGAGCTCCCAATCCTGAGCACTGCAGCAAGCGGTTCTTGGATCTCGGTAGGTTCTGGCTGTAACCCTGAGAGAGGACTGAGACCTGCCCAGTAAGACACATCCCCTTGTCTCTCCCCACCAAATTCACCCCAAGACTTTAGGGCGATTGCTCACATGGTTAAAGTTCAGCACGCCTTGATGCTGGAGAATCCACACAATATACAAGTGGGCTCTATTCTAAAATTAAACCTGCTGTTACTGACAGAATGAGATGCACGGGAATGTTGGGAAGGGCAGTGGTTTTGATTAACCCTTTTTAATTGGCAGTACACAGGAACACTTCATTAGAGACAGAAGTAGACATCATGGGTTTGAATGAACCAGCACGCTAGTAGCTGGTTGCACTGAAAGATGGAGAGAATCTGCAGGGTGAGTTCAGGTGAATTTATGCCCTGCAATGTCTTCACTAACAGGGATTAAAGACCGGCTCCATCTATTTCCCTGGAGGAAAAGCAACCTATCAAGGGGAGGAAGTGAATATGAAGATGGTAGAGCCCCTTTTGTTCAATTACAGCAATGAAAACAATTGGAGGGAGAACATCGACACCGTGATGGAATGGTTCACGGTGAACAACCTGGACTTCATTGCCCTCTACTTCGGCGAGCCAGACTCCACAGGACACAAGTACGGCCCTGAATCCACGCAGAGAAAAGCCATGGTCAGCCAGGTGGACAGAACCGTGGGTTACTTACGGAAACGCATTGCAGAAAGCGGCCTAGAATCAACCCTCAACCTAGTCATCACGTCTGACCATGGTATGGACACTGTCATAAAGACCAACGAAATCCACCTCCGGACGGTGGAAAACTTCACCTTCAGCGACATCCAGTTTGAACTCTTAGATTATGGACCAAATGGACTCCTGGTGCCCAAAGAAGGAAAATTAGAGCATGTATATACAGTGCTGAAAAATGCCCACCCAAAGTTACATGTGTACAAGAAAGAAGAGTTTCCAAAGAGATTCCACTATGCCAATAATTCCCGTATCACGCCGCTCTTGATGTACAGTGATCCAGGATACGTGATCCATGGGGTAAGATGCATGTTCAGACATATCTCACTGTCTTTTCTTGTATCTATCCTTTTCTCTTTTTGCATATCATTCCAGTACCTACCAGGCTTTGTACTTTCATTTCGATTAGTCTCTCTGCAAACAGAAATTCCAGCTCTTCCTTTCTCTCTTGTTCAGACAACAATATCCCACTTCCCTTTCACTCCAGAAGTCTTGGAGCAGGACTTGCATGAACACAGCATCCCCTGTTAGCTTAGCATTAAAGAAAACGGCCCAAAGCCAGGAGCAGAGGCAGCTGCCCATTGCCAAGTTCCCCATTCCAACAAAATTTGGGTGCACTGCTGTTGAGCGGGGATCTTCAACTGCTGTTGAAGGGGGAGCCAGGATGCACTTGCTTGAGAGCTGTGTCTAGGCAGCACCCACCAGCAAAGTTTAACATTATCAGACCGAAACTACAAAATCTAGAGAAATCAGGCAAACATCAGCTGCAGAATGTGGTGTGCAAGACCCACATGCGAGGCCCGGGGCACCACGACTGCTCCCGTACCGCCACGCAGCCCGTGCTGGGTGAGAGCAGGGCCACCGTGACGGCTCGGGGAGGGCTCTGCAGGGACAGGGTCACTGGCTCATTCCGACCCCACACTTTCTTGGAGCAGGAGCCCACTGGCTCACTCCGGCCTTGGCTTCGCGGTGCAGGGATGTTCCCGGGCTGCCTGGGATTCCTGCAGGAACATTGACATCTAGCGGCAGCCGCACGCCCCCCGCCCCGGGCGCGCCCGCCGCCCGG